CCCCCCCCCCCCCAAAAAAAAAAAAAAAATTCTATTCTTCCCTCAAACAAACTATTTTTACCAAGATTAGCTGCACTGCACTTCCACCATCCTTGGCATTGAGTTCGTAAACCTTGAATTCTCCAAGTTAGTGACCAGGAATACTACAACCAGTATGTGGCGCATGAAATTTTACATGAAAAACATGTATCACCATTACAAATGCGCTAAACTTGACCTCACCATGACCCATCCCATGACATGAACGGGCGGGACTCCGAGCAGGACACGCAACCCCTGCCCCATTTCATAGCAAAGCATGTGCTCTGGGATGAAAACCCAAATTTAGAAGCCACCTCACACTCTGACAACCTATCTTTAAGAACTATTAGCAAGTGAAACCTACAGTTCAACTTGTAAGTCAACCCCTTTTATGCACCCCCCTCTCTCTCTCTCTCTCTCTCTCTCTCTCTCTCTCTCTCTCTCTCTCTCTCTCTCTCTCTCTCTCTCTTCATTTATACACAACCATACAAAACTCACTCAAACCCACCTAGTTCACCATCAGTCAAAATCAGTCGAAACCCCAAATCCACCACCTCTAGAACCATTCCAGTGATGCCTATAAAATCAAGTTGTTAGGACCATGTTAGCATAATATTAAACTAAAATTTCAATTATCATAATATCTAAGGTACCATGTCCAACTCATATATTAACAAAATAGGTTTAATTTTTAAGTCCCACCAATATTATTCTATATTAGATATCCAAATATAATTCATTAATTACACTCAATAAAATTGTTGATATGGAAGAATTCGATGCTGAATGAATTTGGTAGGAGCATTAAAAATAGATCTATTAAATTTCTGAATGACGAAGGAGGAAGCAAAGTGAACACTAATAAGGTATCCAAGCACCTTTGTGAATAACACTTGTAAGAAGCATTTCAAAATAATATGACTACAAAAGGAGTTCAAGATCATAGACTTATTGGGTAGTCTTTCCCTCCTGCAGGTTGGCTGATAATGAATACAGATGGATGCTCCAAAGGGAACCTGGGGTCAGCAGCAGCAGGAGGAGTGTTAAGAATTGACCAAGGACAGTCGCTATTGGGATTCTATGGAAAGCTTCCGAATCTTACCCGTACACAAGAAGAGCTTTGGGCTATCTTTTGAGGCCTTTCAACTCATCCAGAGTGAAGATCTGGACAAAGTCATCATGAAAACAGACTCTCTGAATACCCGTAAACTGTTAGCGGCGAGGGGTGATTCTCCACTGTCCCCCAACTGACTTTAAAGGAGGACTTTTGAACAATGATATTGCTGGAATCTCTTTTTGTTATAGTTAGTCTAAACAACACCACTGTACGCTCTCTCTTTAGCACCACGTCTCTTATTCATAGGAGGTCTTTCTCAACTAGCAGGTTTTTTTTTCCAAAAATTCTATTTATTCTGGTGGAATAGTTATCTTAACCATTCCGCCATTCTTGACTTTAACACGAATGACACAAATCGGTCCAGAGTTCCACTTTCACCTTTTCTTAGGAATGGACTACATATGCCCAAAAATTAAAAGTAAATTATACTTTGACTTTCTATCAATTATGGCCACAACTTTATTTTTTTGAATTAATAAAATTTGCACATTATTTTTAAAATTATTTGAATTGGCTTTTGACATTTCGAATCAAGGGCAGAACCAAAATTTTTGTTTATCTCGGGCTAAACTAAGCATTTATAAGACTAACAAATACAAATATAAACTC